CTTCCAACATTCTGGTAGACAGCTCTCATCTGTGCCTTCCTGCCTCTTTTCCCGTTCTTTTTCTTTTAATTTAAAATGATTTAAAAATGTAGACTTAAAAAAAAATTGTGACAGAATATACATAACAAAGTTTATACCCTTTAGCCACTTTTCAGGTAGGACTTAGTAGAGTTAACTAAGTTCATATTATTACGCAACCAGTTCCAAAATGTTTTCCTCTTGCAAAACTGAAGCCCTTTAGTCCTTAAATGCCTCCTTGTTCCCCCATCTCTGCCCCCTGCAGCGCCTAGAAATCATTTTCTACATCTGTTTCTAAGAATCTGGCCACTCCAGACATCTAATGCCACAGGATTCAAATAGTATTTATCTTCTGCAACTGGATTATTTAGTGCATCTTCAACTATATGTCACAACTTCATTTAAGGCTGAATCACACACACACACACACATACAAATCATTACTTAAAAATTTTATTGTGGTTTTCTTGTTCCTTTTGTATTATGAACTTATGCATTTTTACTCCATTCTGTTGGTCACTGTTGTAGCATAATTTTTTTAAAAAAGAGACAAACTTGTGTATCCAACCTGATCCTAATGAGAAACCCATACTCTATTTCTGAACTGTGATGTTTAAGGATCCCTTCTGGATTGCTTTTTATAATCTGTTGAATCGGGGCTGGCGTCATGGTATACTAAGTTAAACCTTTACCTGCAGTGGCATCATCCCTTATGGGTACCGGCTGGAGTCTTGGCTGTTTAAGAGGCCTGCACTCACATGAACCATCTGGAAGGCGCTACCAGCCCCTTACTTTGAATTGGCTCAGCTCTAGCCATGGCGGTGAAACATTTCATCTGTTTTTTCACAGGCTGAGGTGAGCATTCTTGCAGCAGACATGCAGTGAGGAGCTGGTCCCACCTACGGTACCCATGCTGGAGATTTCAATCTATGCTAAAGAGGCACCATGTTCAGGTTATCTATGCCATCTGCCCATTTCTTTGTCTTGAACCCTCTTGGCCACAATGACTGGACCAGTTAAGCCAAAGCCAGACAAGGCATACATGGCATGGTCCAGACCTATTAACTGGTTCCTCCCTCTTGAGTATATGAATTAGAGACACTAAAACTGTACTGATTGTTGAGAGGGCATGTTAAACTCAGACTCATAGCATGGTGGGCCCTCTGCAAGCAGTCTCTGTGCCCTTTCATTTGTGTATTGTTTGTTTTCTTTTTTCCTTGAGTGGGTGTGTATTTTTTGCTCCTGACTTGATCAGGATATGTGTTAACAATTGATAGGAAATACTGCAAGATGGATTGCTCCTAGATTCATTGTAACAATTGCCTAAAATATTGGCTTGCCCTTGTTACTGTCTCATTTTGGGTGCTGTATAGAAATGAGTCAGACTTTCTGTCCAGAATCTGTGTGTATGTGTTGTGTGTGTGTTTTTTTTAATTATTTATGTTATTGGGAAAGGCATATTTACAGAGAGAAAGAAAGACACGGAAAGTTCTTCCACTGCTGGTTCACTCTCCAAATGGCTGCAATGGCTGAAGCTGAATTGATCTGAAGCCAGGAGCCAGGAACTTCTTCTGGGTCTCCCACACAGGTACAGGGTCCCAAGGCTTTGGGCCATCCTCTACTGCTTTCCTAGGCCACAAAGAGCAAGCTGAATCAGAAGTGGAGCAGCAGGACACCAACCAGTGCCCATATGGGATGCTGGCACTAGAAGGTGGAGGATTAGTCTGTTGAGCATCCCCTCCCCCCAATCTGTTTAATTTCTCTGTGTGTAAACAACTGTATTAGTACTCTTTCTTCTTGAGGCTGAGCTCTCGACATTTCTTTTGCAACTGCTTTCAACGATACTCCGAGAAGCCAGTACAAATTGCTCTGTAAATCAACAACCAAAGAATCAATATCGTTGATGTTCTCTTAAAGAATTCAAGACAAATAGTCCCCATAAGCCACTATCCCTGCACTTCAGAGTTCAAAAGAAAATGTCCCCCAAATGAAATCCGATCTCACCAAAAAGGTTATGTGAGTGTGAATAAAAGGCAGGCTATGACTTCAGAGCAAGTATTCAGAGAGCAACAATAACATGAGGGGCATTATCAGGACCAAGCTCCTCTTTTTCAGGTCCCAGAACTAATTTGAGAATTAACATCTGTAAAATTGTTATCACATGTTTTAAAAACAATGTGTCTGCCTTCTGATATTAAGGTATTTTACACCTCCCAGAAGGGAGAAAACATCTATGGATAAGGTGCTTCAGAAAGTTTGTGGCAATAGAACTAAAGCACAAGTTTATTTTGACTTGAAAAAATTTGAAACCCCTATATTGTTTTCTTCACAATCATTTTCCATGAATTTTAAAAAATGTGTTTATTTCTATTCCAAAAGCCAATTTACAAGCGAGAAGGAAAGGCAGAGACAGAGAGAGGGACCCTCCATTCACTGGTTCACTCTCCAAATGGCCACAACTGCTATAGCTGAGCCAATCAGAAGGTCAAGAACCGGCATCCATACGGGATGCTGGCACCCCAAGGCAGATGATTAGCCTGCTACGCCACTGCACAGGTCCCTATTATTCTCAAATTATTCCCTGTCTGCATGGATTTCAATGTTTCTTGCCCCCAAACATCTCTCACTCCTCTTTTCTGCGAACTTCTACAATACTTCTAATATGCAGGTCATCTAATCCAGGCATGCGTTTCAGCCTTGAGTAATTTCTTTATCCCTAAAGAAAGGAGAATCACTCGTGCTGGCTTTGTGCTTGCTGACAGAGTCACTCACTCTGCCTGGTAATAAGTCTACAAAAAGAAGTAAGTGGATTTGGAAGCACCGCATGTCAGGTCTTTTTTTCCTGTCATTTCCGGGGTGGGTGGGTGGTGGAGCGGCAAACACTGTGGCAGAGATTGGCCCTGTTTTTTTTAATCCTCAAGTGATTCCTTGGGACATGACTGCTCAAGACAAAAATTTCATCCCTGAATTTTTCTATAGCTATGTATTTGTCACAAACTGCCCCTAAAACATAGAGGCTTAAAACCACCTCTTAACTGATGTTCAGTGTATTTTGTGGATCCGATGGCAGCTATCCTTGGGCTAGTAAAGCTGTCCTCATGCTGCGTGGGTCAAAGCACCCAAAAATAATTTCAAATCCCAGGGCATGGCATGCAAGACTTCAATTCTGGATGGCAGGGAGAGGATACAGGTCCACTGTGGACTAATCCCCAGCCAAGAGGGTAGATGAGGGCTTGGTTTTCTTAAACTTCCCCAACTCTTAAAGGGCAAGTGTTAGAGACAGACAGTTGCCTTCTCTTTCCTTTGTCCTTAGCTGAAATACGGATGTCACGACTTGAAATGCAGCAGGTGTATTTCAGACCACAAACTCAGGATGAGTGAGCAAAGAGATGGCAGGAGCCTGGGTCTTGGGGCTCAGACAGCACCGTGCCAACGCCACCTGCATGTACCTTCCAGGGAAATCAAATCGTGTCTTGTTAGCAAGTTCCTGCATTTGCATCTTCTGTCACATACCAGTAATGCAAACCATTTTCATCATTATAGATGATTCCGACGCAATCATTATCATACATGAAGACAGAGAATGCAAACGCATGTTAACATTATTGGATCTGTAACAACGATCACGCTTACACGTTAGAGTTTGACTAATACTGTGCTCCAAGAAGTAGCATGTGAGGATTGCAATATTTCATAACACCTTATTTCTTAAAATAGATAAAATTAAGTCATTTACCATACTGAAAAATAGCATTAGTATGAGGTTTATGGAAAACAGAAAAGCACATTAACCCAAGGAGTGAATACAAGAAGAGATCGCAGGCAGAGTTTCAGAAAGGCGAGTTCCTTGGCCATGTGTCTGATTTCTCGCCTTTTGAGTTTCCTGGAAAAGGTGTCTGTTCTTTGTTGAAAGAAAGAGCAATAGGAATAATTAAGTGGATAAAATGAAAAAAATAAAGTTTGTTCTTAACTATTTGACGATTCAGCCGTTACAGAAAATGAAGTACAAGTCTTTAAATAACATTTCATAGGCAAAAGATAATTTTCTTTCCTCCAAAGTTGCAGACATAGGCATAAAGAGGCCTCATTTAGGAGCTAAGCTATAACATCACACATTTGCAATCCTATTTCTTTTCATACTGAAACACTCCAGTTTCAGGAAATATAATGGAAAAAGCAAAGCATAAGGGAAAGCTATAAAATAGACAGTAACAGCCTAATCAAAAAGAGCTTTTGGTTTTGTTTGTTTGAGGAGTATCTGTTCTGCCTGCGATGTCTCATCCAGATTGCTTCACTATCCTGTTTGAAGACCATTAACTTTGGTGTCGCAATAAAACGTGCAGTCCAATAAATAACTGTAAATGCATAGCGTTTATTCACAATGGCACAGTATCATACAGAATGGAACAAGACGGGAAAGAAAGAGGATTGAAGTCCCCTAAATGGCATAGTGTTTCTTTGTCCAACTCTATGACTTCAGACAAGACAGAACCAATGTTCCTCAACGCAACTAGGATTAAGAGGAAGGGAAAATGAGGCAGAGGGCTGAAGTTTTCAGGACCCTCGCTTGGCCCCAGCTCCGAGCGCACCTGGGACCGGGGAATTCGGGCAGGCCACCCGCCGCCCCAAGCAGCGTCGACAGGTGCAGCGCGCGCCCGCCTCGCGGAGTGAGGAGGCCGGGTGGGGAGGTGGTGCCCACGCCCCGGGCGCGTGCCGCAGCCGCGCTCGCCGCCACCAGCGCCCTCCGCCCCAAGGTGGTGGGAGCAGCGGGTGCGTGCCCGCGAGGTTGCCATGGTTTCCGGGATCACGTAAGCGCGCGCGCGCGCGCGGCGGCGGGACGAGGGCGGGACGCCGGGCGGGGGTGGGGTGGGGAGAGGCGCGGCCGCGGCGGCAGCGGGAGGAGCCCGAGATGCTGCCAGCCCTCCCGGGGCCGCGCTCGCTCAGCCGCCGCCGCCACACGGAGCAGCCGCGCGCCGGGCCAGCCGGGCCAGCCGGGCCAGCCGGGCCGCCGGGGCCCACTGCGCCGCGCTCGCAGCCGTTCGCGCCGTGGGCGCTCAGCTGTGGTGGCCGCGGGGCCCGAAGTCGGAGCGGAGAAGGGGGCGAGGGCGGGGCCCAGGCGCCCGCCGCCCCGAAGGCAGGATGAGCATCGAGATCCCGGCGGGACTGACGGAGCTGCTGCAGGGCTTCACGGTGGAGGTGCTGCGGCACCAGCCCGCGGACCTGCTGGAGTTCGCGCTGCAGCACTTCACGCGCCTGCAGCAGGAGAACGAGCGCAAAGGCGCCGCGCGCTTCGGCCATGAGGGCAGGACCTGGGGGGACGCGGGCGCCGCCGCCGCCGGGGGCGGCACCCCCAGCAAGGGGGTCAACTTCGCCGAGGAACCCATGCATTCCGACTCCGAGAACGGGGAGGAGGAGGAAGAAGAGGAGGCCGCGGACGCAGGGGCGTTCAACGGTGAGGACCGACCCTCGCTGCACACCCTGTTCCCGGCTTTGCGCCCTGAACCTGCAGCTTCGCTCCCCCGAGTCCCCACCTCCCCACCTTCCCTGTCGCGCCCACCCCCTCAGCATCCATTTCTGGCTCTCCCACTCGGCCCATCTTCCTACTCGGCTCTCTGGGCGCGCTCCCTCCCCCTCTCGGTGCGTTTGGAGGTGGGCGCTGAAGGCTTCCCTCTGCGCTGCGCCTCCACCACCTCCACCTTCCAGCTTCCTGGGCAAACGTGGCCAGACAACTTTTGGCCGCGGTTGCAGCTGTTAGCCCTGGGATGATGCCATTGTGCGTGAAGGAAATTGGCCGTGAGGTGTCCTCTCTACGGCCTTTATCTTTCTTAGAGGAGTGTTCCCAGAGAGGAAAGGCGGTTAGGGTCCGCTGTCGGGAGCTGGAAATGGGACAGACTGGGGTAGATTCACGTTTATGATACTAGCGCTGACATTCTTGGAAATGGGGTCATTTTATTATTTTTCCAGTTGACTAGGATTATGTTATGTTTGTGTTGGACACACAACAAAGGAATCTCATTTGCTTGCAATCCACAGAGTCTTTGCAACAGGGAAGCTGGCTTTTTTTTTTTTAAGTGTAAAACATATTGAACGATTTGATGCTTTAAAAAAAAACGTGTGAAAAACACCTTGGAGAGTTCTTAAAGCTTGTTGGTTGTCATTAGAATGAAAAGCCAGAAGTGTCTGTAAGGACCCTGTCAGGCGCTGGAGCTGGGAAGAATGAATGGGAAAGAAAGAGGGATTTTCTCAAATAGCTGCTCGGGCAAGTCCCACCCCTTTCTGCTTACAACCCGCTTTCCCCAACACACGCAGATGCACTCATGTTTGCATAACATCCCAAATCTCTGTTCTTATGGCATCCCGTGCTGTAGTGGACCACGGTGTGCAAATGTGCAGATGTGTTCTGTGTGCTTGCAGCATTGCACCAGGTTCTGTTATGGGCACTGCATGTGGCTTGTGTGTCGGCGGCACCGTTTATGGAGGGAGCCCACGTATTCAAGGGTTGTTTCCTTGTCTTGAAATGGACTGTCAAAGTCACCCATTTGAGCCATCGCCAAAGCAATCATGAAATCCCTGGAGATGAGCGCACTGTGGGGCGAAAAGGGAAGATTGACACTTAGGATTTTAATTTGGCACTTTGTAGTGTTTGTCGGGATAGGCTAACCAGGGCTGTCATTGTTCTTCCTTTTGCACGAGAAGCAAATGCTTTCCCTGATAGATAGGCGAGAAGGAAGGAAGAATACCGATTTCAAGTAGATGGTAACGGATGACGTCAGACAGAGGCAGCGGATACTTCTTTTATGCTCCCAGCACATGCGTGCACGCACACACACACACACACACACACACACATGCATGTAGACATGAACATACACACACACAAAGGACTCCTTTTCCCTACTGGGAGAAACTAAGGGGCTTGCCCAAGAATCCTTGTAATATGTGCTTCATGTGACTAAAATATTTTGTGTGTGTAAGGATTTTGAAATATTTGCATTGGTGATTCCATTTTCTCCTTAGGATATGACAAAGTATGCACAGCGTATATACAATTTTCATTTGGCAATAATGGCTAAGCCGGGGGCTCTAAACTATAGGAGCTGTTTTACGTGGCTTTATGGCTTCAGAGCACCTCTGCTGTAAAAGTCACTGAATATAGGTTTTAATAAATACCTGTTAAGCAATAGTACCATTTATTTCCCCAGGCCTCATCCAAGGACTTGAGAACTTTTGACTGCCAGCAAATACAACTTGCTTATTACCCAGTAAAACTTAAGAAGGTTCATGGAAAAGTGAAACTTTTGAGATTATTTTGTGCAAATTTTTCTTTTCTGTAAGTTGGAAATGCTTGTTTCAAAAAAAAAAAAAAAACCTATGCCTGCATTTCCAGATTTTTTTTTTTAACCAAGATGAAGTCATGCTTTTAACTCCATTTTTCCATCAACTTAAAAAAAAAAAAAAGGTTTTGGGAACTGATGCTGTTGCGAAGTGGGCCAAGTTGCCTTTTGTAGTCAGCGTGCTGTTGTTGCACTTCTGCTCTCACTACCTGCTCATGACCTGGGGAGAGCAGCAGAAGATGGCCCGAGTGTTTCAGCTCCTGCCTCCACCTGAGAGAGCTCCCGGGAGCTCCTGGCTCCCGGCTATGGCTGGTTGTTGGGGGATCGTGTAGGGAGTGAACCATCTCTCTGTGTTTCTTCCCCTCTCTGTCCATCTCACCCTCTCTCTGCAATTCTGAGTTCAAGTAAATACATCTTTAACTAAAACCTTTCTCAAGATTTTAACCTTTTAAAAGGGATTGATTGATTTTGGCAAAGTGACAGAAATAGAGTTTACCCACGTGCCGGGTCTCCCACCGGAGTAGCAGAAACTACAGTACCTGGTCTGGCATTTGACTCAGGAGTGGAAAGCAGGGTCAAGGGCAGAGTAGAGCCAGAAACTCCAGCATGGGATGTGACTTCCTAAGTGGTGGCTTAACCCACTGCACCACAACTCACATCCTCCAAGAACTTCCTGGAGGATAGCCGAAACTGTGGTCCGAGTAGCTTCTTCTGTTAGCTAGCAGTGGTCTGGTATGTTTTCTATTCTGGTCAACTCTCCTTATTTCTTTTTAAGAAGTTGGTATTGAGCCTCCAGGCTCAGTAACAGCTGGAAGCTACAAAGCAGTCAGCAGTTGGTTTTCTAAAGAGCCAGTTAATGAATGTGTTAGACCATAGGGTCTCAAGCTTTTTTTTTTTAATTTATTTATTTAATATCCTTTAACTCCTCTCTGAGGGTTGAGATTGGACAAAACTGGCCACATACCAATGTGGTCCTTGTTGCTGAGCCCTGGTGAAACGGGGAGGGGAATTGAAGTAATACTTGGGAGGGCAAGGCGGGGAACACCATCAGGAGTGAGCCTCGAACCTACCAACCCGTCGATTTCAATACTCATGGTGGCTGTATTCACAAGTGTCACGGTACCCAAAACAAGAGCCTGTGGGTAATTCTCATGGAATAGTAAATGTGTATTTCAAGACAAGACTGACTTTCTCTGGGATCCGTACTGTTTAGGGCCCCCTGGATCAGCATCTCAAGCATGTGTTAGGACTAATATGAGTACTCTTTTTGTCTCTAGCTCTATTGGAGATAATGCGTCATCATAAGACTCTGAAATCTATCCTGTCCAAGGTCACACAAAGAGAAATCCTGTGAGTTGCAGGGCCTTGGTTTCCATCTGTTGTCCTTGAAGCCCAAGACCATCATTCACTAAGCCAAGGTTCCCTTGTTCTGTTTTCATGAATGATGTTCAAGTCCTTGCGTGTAAATCCCTTTAGCATAAATGATGGTCTTTAGAAGTTGGCTTTTGCCCATGGAACTGTCTTTTGTCTGGGGCAGACATTAATAGCATGACCTTGATGTCAGCATGCGCTGGTTTGCTCAGGTAAGCCAGGCACCTGCAGTGGGCTGGCAGATGTCTGTCCTCTGGTCTAGGGGCCAGGGATGTTGGAGGGCCAGGCGACATGGCTTTGGATAATACGAGGCCACTTGGTGTGTCCCAGGGTCCTTTCTCTTTTCCTGTCTCCATAGAGGAGCCCTTCCGCTCCTGACAGTTCCCCTGTTCCTCTCCTCTTGTCTCCTGACTTTATCAGTTCTAATTATGACTTTCTAGTTCCTGTCTGTCAATTCTAGCTAAAAGGGCAACCTTTAGGTGTACGAATAAGAGAGTGGCTTAAGACGGCCGCCTCCAAATAAACTCTGAGGGCTGAAAAGAGGCTCAATGGAGGCCCTGTGGCATCTGTTCGGCCTTCCTCCTTCACGTCCTCCTCTCTGCAGGTTAGGACCTGGTGCTTCAGAGGGGTGGTGGCCCTTGGCCTCTCATTGATCAGAAGGGTTTGCGGTAACCAGAGAACTGAATTAGTGCCTGTTTGGAGTAAATTCGGTGACAACAGCTTTATTCAGGCATCATTGCGAGGTCCTGTATTGCTCAATATTTCTTTTTCAGAGACATTACTGAAATTAAAAATGAAGGAAATGCAGTTTCAGTTGCCTTAATTAAATTATGTATAGGTGCTATACAGAGTAGCAAGTCTTGGAGAAGTCAAGTCTTCTGATGTAAAGTCTTGAAGAACTGATTTTCTGCATTGTGAAAGAAAAGTGTCCCAGAGATCACAGTGGCTATAGCAGCCGAAAGGTGAAGAACCACGCCTTAGATAAGAAGTGCCTCAAGGGAGTATGAATTAAAATCTACCCTGTAATGCGGTGACTTGTGTCGAATGTCTACCATTAGTTTGCACAATTTAAAGGGAATACGGAGAATTTATAAGAGAGTCTTGGGGCCATGCACTTGTTGGGACAATTACAGCTTGCTATGATGGAGGCAGGAGATTAAGAGGGTAAATTGTTTATCATGAGAAGAAGTGGTTCAAGAAGTAAGAAGACTCATGTGTCAGAAATTTTCTTGGATGTTTATGAGCAAATATTCTTTATGAGATGCAGAATTGAAAAGGCCGCACTTCATTGCAACTTGAATAAGAAGTCTTCCGAGATGGTCAGGGCAGTGTACAGCCTGACTTCCCAGGAGCCTGCGGGGTTCCGTTTTTTTTTTTTTTTTTTTAATTTTCATGATTTATTTAATTATTTTAAAGATAGAGGTACAAAGAAAGAGTGAGAAACAGATCTTCTACCTACAGATTCACTTCCCAAAAGGCCCCAATGGCCAGAGCCGGGATGGTACTCAGCCAGGAGTTTCATCCTGACCTCCCACAACCATGCAGGGGCCCAAGCTTGTGAGCCATCCTCCGCTGCTTTCCCAGGTGCATTATCAGGGAGCTGGATCCCAAGTGGAGCAGCTGGGGTTCACATGGCACTCATATGGGATGCTGCACTGCAGGAGACAGCTTTCCTCCCTGCACAGCGCCAGCAGCTGGAGCTAGCCCTCTGTGATTCCTCAGTTCCCTCCTGGACCGAAAAACAGGA